TGTTTTAAAAACATGCAATGTTTTACATTTTATTCTGATATGATGTGATAGCGTCTATAACCAGTTACAGTAGGAACACATTAATGCTTTTTCAGTTACATTAAAAATGCCCAATATTTGTATGCAAATGTACATACAAATGTATTTGGATGTCTGCATTTTTATTCTTTTCAGATAACTTTCATGCAGTATAATGATTCATTTTGATGATAAGTACAAAAGAATAACTGTAGTTCAACAATCTTCAAGGATTGATTTATTTGCATTGCTCTTGAATCCAAACTGGGAGCTGGTTCCACAGAAGAGGGACCTGAAAGATGGAGTTTCTGCCCCCCGTTTCTACTTTTAAATACCTTTGGAGCCACAAGTAAACTGGCAGTGCTCTATTAAGCTCATCTTACAATGCTTTTTATAGTGTTGTAAAATGTCCAATTTATCTGAATTTAGAAAGAAAGAGTAAATTAGAGATGATCTAGACCTTCATGGAGATTACGTAACTGGTGTGTGTCTTCTGGCTTCATGGACAGATAAATGCAAATAGACTTGCTCCTGGGAAAGAACCCTGTGGAACTCCATAATTAACCTTAGCGTGAAGAAAACTCCATAGATTTGTTCCATTTGTTCATGTCAATTTTCTAATCCTTGTTAGGGTTCCTGCTGTACCGTTTTGGATTAACTAAAGGCTTTTCAGGAAATTTTAGAGCAGCACTATAATAATGAACGAATTACAGTATTCCAGCTAGAATAAATGAATGCATGAAATAGGGTTGTAAGCATTTTATTTTGCTTTAATGTTTTGTTTGGTCCGTAACTCTGTTGTCACCATTTAAATAGTTTAACTTAGAACCAGAGTCTTCCATTTCCCACATGTGTATAGATAAAAAGGTGGAGCTGTATCCAAGACTGAGCTCAGATTGTTGTCACAGATTGCTTTAGTAACATTCATAAGCATGAATAAAATACACTAATTACATTGCACTAACAGTTTTAATAAAACACAAGCTTTTGTTTTTCACAAATCATTAAAAGTATATTTGGGTCAGTAAAACCCTGAGCCACTGACCTGAGGCTGTTGGATTGGACTGAATTATTGCCAGCATTATTTATTAATGTCTACATAATCGGGATGCCTGTTTTTTGGAGCAGGAAACATTGCGTTGCAACAGGACACACTCCAGTTCTGAGAATGCTGATATACTTGCTTTTCTTCATTGCAGCCACCATGAAATGAGCCATTCACAGACACACTTAAACATGCAGACACATGCACCGAAACCTACAGTTCAGCTGGAAAGTATTCACAAGTTACAGCCTTATTCCAAAATGGATTCAATTAATTTTTCATCTCACAATTCTACGCATCCTAATTACATACTTTATAATTACAAAGTGAAAAAAGTTTGCTTGAAATTCTTGCAAATGTGTTAAAAACGAAACACTGCCTTTTCCATGGCTGCTGCTGGCTGGTTCAGGAGGCTTGGCTGATTTCCCGAGTGATGTCTTGGACAACCTGTCTCCAGCTCCACCTGTGCAGTCTCCTGGGGAGGGTGACAGTGAAGAAGGTCCCAGCGTGGATCTTAAAGACAAAGTAGAGGAACATTTTAAAAAGCATTTTCCTTCTAAACCACAGACCGACAAACTAGTTCACCCGGTGTGTGCTGACTGAGATAATATATACACATGGGGAAACAGGTGGCTGATGCTCTGAGTCAATTCCTCATTCATAAAGCTGTTGTCAAAGTGCAAAGATGAGCAAATTCTGTAAAATGAGTAAACTTACAATATATAAGGATGGAGATGGTAATCAAGTCAGAAATAGTAGACTATAGAACTGTAGACTTTATCTTTCTAACTGTGGTCAT